CCGGAGTTGTCAGATGGGGCCAGATAGAAATAAAGCTAGGACCAGTTAGGGATAGGGTTTGATGGGAGCTGAGAACATGGACAAAGTTCAGATGATAGGCTAGCTCAGGGGTCGGCAACCTATGGCTCGCGGGCCAGGTGTGGCCTGTGGAGGCCTTGGGACCGGCCTGTGGCCGGTCCTGCTGCCGCCACCGCCGCCAACTTGCGCTCGTGCGTGCATGCGCACAACGCCAGACACCATTTTGGAAGGCTCCACCACGGCTGTGCAGCCGCCATTGGGCCTTCAGAAGGCCACACCACGGCTGCGCCGGGCAAATTCACCTGGCGGAGGCACTGGGGGGCCTTTCCAAGGCCCAGGGAAGTCCCCCTGCGCCTGCGGTGGGTGAATTCGCCCGCTGCAGGTGGGGGAGGGCCTTCCAAAATGGCGCCCGCATCGTGTGCGCATGTGTACGACAGCGTTGTTATGCGCATGCATGCGTGCTGGAGGGGCGTGCGCACGCGCAAGCGCCCAGCCAGCCCCCCACGCCATTTACCCCCCCAGCCCCCCCGGCAAAAAAAGGTTGCCAACCCCTGGGCTAGCTAATCCCTTCTGGGAATGATGAGATAGCTGATGCTTTCCCCTATGTTACCTCTAATAGGGCTTGCTTGAAACTGTACCAACACAGTGTGCTAGCTGTTCCATTCTCTGCAAGGAAGAAATGTGAAACCATGAGCTAGTCAGGCTTTGTCTAGAGCAGTGGTTCCTAACCTTGTTGGAGGTACTGACCCCCACCAGTTTCATATGCGCATTCACCGAACCCTTTTTACGATTCTTATGCATTCACCGAACCCTTCTACCACCAATACAGATGGACCGTCAGCGCCATCCAGTGAGGGGAGTGGGCCGCCGCACTGTCGATCATGCCACACGGCCAATCAGAGGGCCACTTCTGTCGGTGGAGGCGGGGCAAGCTGGTTTGGTTGGATGGGGCATATAAATAGTAGGGCATATAAAACGTATACAGGTTATCACCTGCAGCCAATGATGGACGAGCGGGGCGTGTCATCATGAATCATATGAATCGGATGTGTGTCTTGACTTCTGCCGAACCCACGAGACTGACTCACTGAACCCCTGGTGTTCGATCGAACCCAGGTTAAGAACAACTGGTCTAGAGCTAAGCAATAACATGTTTGTTGTTACTGTTGCTGTTCTGTGCCTTTATTCATTTCCGACCATAAGATAAACCTATAACTTAAAAAAAAAATGGCAGAGGGAAGCGAGGTCACTCTGTAGTACCTTTGGGCATCAGAAAGGCTTGCAAGCGTTGCTTTGTGTAGTTCCACTTGTCCTAAATTAATTGCCTTGAACTGTTGGAAGCAAGCGGCTGGTCTGCAAAATGTAGCAAGCATGGGAGAACAATGAAAGGGCAGTTTAGCTGCTCAGAGGACCTGATAAGACAAGCACAGCAAGCTTTGACTGCATAGACCACAAAAATCTATGGAATGGCCTCAATGAAATGGGAGTGCCACTACATTTGATAGTCCTGATGAGGATTCTGTATTTAGGACAAGAGGCAACTGTCAGAACAGAATATGGAGAAACAGTATGGTTCCCATTTGGCAAAGGGGCCAGGCAAGGCTGCATTTTATTATATTCATTTATATCCCACTTTTCGCCCAAAATCGGGATCCAAAGTGGCCCCAATATTGGGCTGGGTAAGCCACAGGAGTTCCAATCCGTGGATGGCTCACTGTATAAGACAGTAGACGCTTAGCAGGTACAGTTTCCTTCCTACTATTTTATAAGGCACAGCTAGTGCAGAACTCCCTCCAGGTTTACACAGCTTCTAATGCCACAATGAGTAGCATGTCTCTACTAAGAGGTTCTTTTCATCTCTCAATGACTGCTCAATAAATGACCCCTCTTAAGCTCATCACTAGCTTTCTCTCTGTAAAAGATCTCTTAATTTTTATATTAAATGGGTGGATGAGGGCTAGAATTACAAAGAATGCATAAGGCCACTGATACGGTTAAGTGACATGTGGAGGTGTAAGTTAGGCTCACACCTGTGTATCTCTATTGTAGTCATTGTGGAGGTCGGTATTACCTTCCTTCCTCAACAGTGATCAACCCCCCCCCCCGACCTACTGTAGAGCCACTGAAGCCCCCTCCAACCCCCCTCGGCCATTCTGTGGCTGGTGGTGAGCGGGGAGAAATCATGGAAGTTTCTGGGTATGTCCTCGTAGCCAGACACAAAATAATTACATCAAGATCTGCAAGATCTCTGTGGACCTCGGCAGAAAATGTTATCGCTTCACATCAACGAGATCATAACCAAATGCCTCTGCAATGCCCTTTGCTTACCATAAGGAACGGACCGATTGTGGTAATGGTGTTTCACTGACTCTACAGTAGGTCTGGGTGTGATGGTAACAACAATGCAGAACTACCATGTTACGCTGAGCCATAGAGGATTCCAGCCTACATTTGAAAAAGAAACCAGTAATGACAAGTAATGAGTTAAGCAGAAAAGTTTATACAAGCACACCATACATTCTTTAAAAATGCAGACAAAACTGACAAATCTTAAGATACATATTCAGAAATAGAACAATAACATCCCTGGACAAGTCAGTAACAAACGGTGGATGATTTTATTTTCCGGCCATGAAGGATGAGTCCTTTTGCTACCATCATAGCTCTCAGGATCCACTTGTATGGTCCATCTGTTAGTCCTCAAGTCACAGGAATATAATGTGATAAAACGTTGCCATTCATTTATATATCATTATTACAAATCTAAAAACGAATGCGAATCATGTTTCACTGCAACTGGGCGTGATCAACTTATAAGTTGCAGAGGCATTATCTGCATCAACATCCGCAAGATCGAGCTTGGTGTTGGGGCTTGAGTGGCTATTTGGATATAACTGGAGTGGCCACAGAATCCTAGACTTGGAAGAGACCCCAAAGGCCATCCAGTTCAACCCTCTGCCATAGAGGATGACACAGTCAAAGCACTCCTAACAGATAGCCATCCAGCCTCTGTTTAAAACCTCCAAAGAAAGAGACTCCACTACTCCCTGAGGCACCATAATCCACTATTGAAGAGCTCTTACCCTCAGGAAATTCTTTTTAATGTTTAGGTGAACTCTCTTTTTCTTCTCAGAGACATGAAAACTCAGCTGCCAGCTCTTCTTGAAATGCCTTGCTTTCTCCCAGGCCCTCTAGACTTTAAAAGAACCAACAGCCATACTTCTCCAGCTCCGAGGATGAAGGGATGTGTTGCTGAAATGTTCCTCTTCTGAGCAGGAAAAGGGAGCTTTCTAGCTCTTCCTAAATCCACTGGAAGCACGAGGATTCAAGCTGCACGTCCCCACCTCCCTGAAAGTCAGGAAAGGAAACATTGCTGGCTGAGGCTGCATATGCATCTGCACTGCAGAAATAATTCAGTTTGATACCACTCTAAACTGCCATGGCTGAGTGCTATGGAATTCTGTAATGTGCAGTTTTGTGAGATATTTAGCCTTCTCTGTCAGAGAACTCTGGTGCCACAATAAACTGCAATTCCCAGAATTCCATAGCATTGAGTCAAGGCAGTTAAAGTATTATTTCCGCAGTGTGAGCCAGCATGGTTTGAGTGTTGGACTACAACTCTGACGACTAGGGTTTGATTCCCTGCTTGGATATGAAACCCACTGGGGAACCTTGTGCAAGTCACACGCTCTCAGCCTCAGGAGAAGAAAATGGCAAACCTCCTTTGAACAAATCTTGCCAAGGAAACCCCACGGCCTTAGGGTTGCCAGAAACTGGATACAACTCAAAGGCCCACAACAACGACAAGTGGATGCAGCCTCAGTAGCAAATGGGGCATTTTAAAAAGAGCCAGCAGGCACACTTTCTGGACTCGAGAGGTGAATATGTGTGGCTCTTAGCAATTCTTGAGCTGCCCAAATTTAGCAGTGGATCATTGTAGCCTTAAAAAATCTGCTAATTTTTCTTTTACAGCTGACTGAGATGGGGATTTGGGGGAAAGCACTGGGGTCTCTTCAAGCGGGGGCTTCAGGAGTATCATGCAAAAGCCCTCTGTATCTGAGGTGGAGATCTGTAGGAGGCTAAAGGTCCGCATTAGTCCCCCAGGAGACCTTTGAGGACTACATCTCTCAAAATAACAACAACAAACCTCTAGAGGTCATGGAGGCCATTTCTGCCACATTCTGCCCCCCCCCCCAGCCATTTTAGGCCCAGGAAAGGTCTCTAAGCAACAGGCAGTGACCAAAATTCACTTCATATTTTTTTAAAGAAAGGCCTAGGGCATTTGGAGACAATTTGGAGCAAAAAGAGTTTTTGAACCCGAGAAGTGCACATTTTGCCCACCCCATTTATAAAGGATAAAGTGATTTTCTTACTGATTATATTGTGCTGAATATTCCAGTCAACTCCTAAGCATCCCAGCATCAAAGCTACTGCATTCCAAAGAGCATCTATAATTTACCATAGTTCAGGGTTCCCCCCCCCCCCGAAGATCTAGTAAGTTCATCTATTAAAATAGTAGATACCAAAGCAGTCCCAGGAGATAAGTATAAACAAACACCAGAAGATACTGCAATTGCAGGTATTCCTACTCAGCACCAATGGCACTGCTGCAGAATATAACCCACCCACCCCCAAAGTTGAAATTACAAAAATTAAAAAATATATTACAGTTTTATAAATCCATTTTACAGTGATTAAACAGCAGTGAGAATTTGACCAAAATTCCCACAAGGCTACCTACCGATTACAAAAGCAATACTAGTGATAATGGGTTAGTTGCAGTTGCTCCATTAGTGAATACATAAAGAAGAGGGTGGGGAAAAAATCCCCCCCTTTTTCCATTATCAAACACGCTGACATGCACAAGATGATCTCCTGAACTACATCTGATCACCTAAATCCAGCTGCTAGTGCCAACTAGAGTAGATCCTTTGAATCAATGGAATTTATCTAAGAGAGGGAGTGTAAGAGAGAGAGAGAGAGACAGTATGGTGTAGTGGTTTGAGTGCTGGCCTGCAACTCTGGAGGCCAGGGTTCAAATCCTGGCTCGGTTACATAAACCCACTGGGTGACCTTGGACAAATCATACTCTCTCAGCCTCAGAGGGTAACAATGACAAACTCCCTCTGAAGAAACATGCCAAGAAAACCCCATGATAGATTTTCCTTAGGGTCGCCATAAATCAAAAACAACTTGAAGGTACACAACTAACTCATTAAGTTCCCATTGATTCTGCAGGTCTCCTCTGATTTGGAGAGGAGCCATTGAATCTAAGCCAGTGTGTTAAATGTGGTTGTTCTGATTGAGGCTATATGGTTTAGCCTTTCCACAACACTCAAAAGCCTCGGTTTACAATCAAAATTTAGGCTCCAAAATGGAAGACACCAGGAATGGACTTGGGATCCTGCTGACAGGTAAGCTGAAACCTTGCAATTCCAGGCATTTGGGAGAGGCCGAGGGAAAGACCACTGTGAATGAATTTCTTTATTATGACCACAGACCGGCACAAAGACCACTGTTTCTCTTCCTGGCGTGGGAAATTTCTCAGAGGTTTGACCAAAGGATGGAAGCTGAATGCTGGCCTTGGCTAGATATATCAGCATTGTTCTGGTAAAAGCCACACAGCCTTCAGCTCACGAACCTCAGGACCATACTCTTCTGTAAGGAGTACAGACCTGGACATTTCTGATGAAAATATTTCCCACACTATGATTCCAAAGAGTTTGGCCAAGATCAACCATGGAGTCACAATGCTGTGGCTACAAACTGTCTCCTGATCTGCCCCCTGTACCCACCTTCAAACCAAGCCAGAGAAGGAATTCTGTGGTGCAGAAGACTCTCTCATCCAGTCCCTTCCTACCAATGCTTGGCGGTGTGCTGAACAGAAGCAGGAATCCCTGTAGAGTCTTGTCACAACGTGGAGCATCAAAAATTGTGAGCAGGAGAGGGCTGGATACATCATCCTTCATCCCTGTTTACCAGCTCCACAGAACTCCATCCTTGGGCAACCAGCTGGAATTTAAGGTGGGTTTCAGGGGCATTTATGACCAGTTGCCATGATTGGAAATGTGAATGGGAAACAGTCACAAGGTCTTAAGTCTAATTTACGACATCATAACTGACTAACAGCATGCTATCCTTTATTTCCAGCATGAAGTTCTAAGTGGTTTAAGTGTGATTCATCAAAAAGTCATCTATCAAGCTCAAAGAATGGATGAGGTTGGTTTTCTGAGCGGATTTGCTGGTAGATGATCAAACCTGAGTGTTGACAAACTGTATCCACGTGGGGCCAAGACTAGGGTTATCCCCATCTATGAGGTCTCTGATGCCTCTCAAATTCTGACTTGTGTCCAAAGCATTTCCCACATTCCTGGCATTTGTATGTTTTCTTCTGCCTTAACGGTTGGGTGACTCACAAGGTCTGACATGGGAGCAAATGTTTCTGAGTAATCCTGGCATTTGTATGGTTCCTCTTCTGTGTGAACTCTTTGATGAGTCACAAATTGTGACTTGTAAGCAAAATATTTTCCACATTCCGGGCACCTGTATGGTTTCTCTCCTGTGTGGACTCTTTGGTGGGTCACTAGGTGAGAATTCTGGGAAAAACATTTCCCGCACTCTTGGCACCGGTATGGTTTCTCTCCTGTGTGGACTCTTAGATGCTTCACAAGGTCAGCCATGTGAGCAAAACCTTTTGGGCAATGCAGGCATTTGTACGGTTTCTCCCCTGTGTGGATTCTCTGGTGCCTCACAAAATTTGAATTCTGAGCAAAACATTTTCCGCACTCCCGACATTCGTACGGTTTCTCTCCTGTGTGGAGTCTTTGGTGAGTCACAAAGTGTGTCTTGTGAGCAAAACATGCTCCACAGTCCTCACATTTGTATGGTTTCTCTCCTGTGTGGACTCTCTGATGGATAACTAGGTGTGAATTTTGAGAAAAGAATTTTCCACACTCCTGACATTTGAATGGTTTCTCTCCTGTGTGGACTCTCAGATGCTTCACAAGACTTGATGTATGACCAAAACACTTTCCACACTCCCGGCATGTGTACGGTTTCTCTCCCGAGTGGACTCTCTGATGCTTTACAAGATCTGAATTGTGACCAAAACACTTTCCACACTCCTGGCATTTGTATGGCTTCCCTCCTATATGTACTCTCTGGTGGCGGACAACTTGTGAACTGCACGCAAAACATTTGGCGCACTCCTGGCATTTGTATGGTTTCTCTCCTGTGTGGACTCTCTCATGTTTTACAAGGTCTGACTTGTGATCAAAAAATTTCCCACATTCTTGGCATGTGTGTGGTTTCCTTCTGTGGATTTTCTGATGCATGGCAAGGTTGGAATTCTGACGAAAACATTTCCCACACTCCTGGCATTTGTACGGTTTTAGTTCTGTGTGGACTCTCAGGTGAAGCATGAAGTGTGAATTATCAGAAAAACGTTTCCCACACTGGGAAATGTGGCATTTGTATGGTTTCCCTCCTGTGTGGACTCTCCGATGGCTCAGGAGGTGTGAATTCTGACGAAAACATTTCCCACAATCCTGACATTTGTATGGTTTCTGTCCCGTGTGGATTTTCTGATGGCTCACAAGGCTAGAATTGAAAATAAAACATTTGCCACACTCCTGGCATTTGTATGGTTTCTCTGCTGCGTGGACTCTCCGATGAACTTGAAGGTGTGAGTTGTAAGGGAAGTGTTTCCCACACTTGTAGCACTTGTATGATTTCTTTCTTGTGCGGATTCTCTGTTGGCTCACAACCTGCAACGTGCAATCAAAACATCGGCCAGACACTTTACATCTATAGACTTTCTTTCCAGGGTGAGCCCTCTTAGGCAATGTAGGCTCCTTCTTTTTGAGAAAATGTTTTCCACAACTGATGCATTTGGAAGACATCTCTCTAGTACTATCTTCATGTGCACAGGATTGCTGATGTTTGGGAAGATCCATTTTGCAAGTTAAACACTTTCCAGATTCAGCACACACATTTGTTTTCCTCTCGTCATCTAATAAGAAGAAATACAAACACAAGACAAGAATGAATCCCACCCCTGCAAGAGAAGGAACCTTATGAAGCAGCAAATGGACTTAAAGAAAGTACAAAGGTCCTGATATTAAAGAAAGTTCAGAAACAAGGTACTTGTTTCTACTTTGTTTTCTTCTACAAGTGCCTGCATCCTACATCATGGTTTTCTTCAGCTCCAAGTGAAGGTATTTTTATTGTACACAGTACAGGTTGAGTTTTCCTTATCTAAAATTTTTGGGACGAGAAGGGTTTTGGATTTTGGATTTTTTCGGATTTTAGAATATTTACATATAATGAGGTATCTTGGAGATGTGAGCCAAATCTAAACATGAAATTCATTTGTTTCGTATACACTTTATACACATAGCCGGAAGGTAATTTTAAACTCAATGTTTTTAATGATTCTATGCGTGAAACAAAGTTCGTGTACACTGAACCATCCACAAGCAAAGGTGTCAGTATCTCAGCCACCCATGTGGACAATTTTGGAGTATTTTGGATTTCAATAAGGTATACCCAACCTGTATTTTTTTCAAAAAATGTCTACTGCAGCAGTATTTCAATTAATAAAATATTAATTACAGGCATCCCCTGCTTTTTGACGGATCACTTTTCCACAATCTGCTTTTTTGCCACTATTAAATTATTACCAGAATCCATTTATCCGATGCATGGGCTGCCCTTAGGCAAAAATGTGTACAAATATAAGTACAAATACCTGTACAGTGCTGTATTATAAACATATGACAACGATACAAATTACTTCTACAGTATATAGTACATAACGTGCTTTGTACGACACTTTTGTAACCATACACTATTTTTTTTCAACTCAGTGCCATCTTTTCAAGTGTTTTGGATTTCAGATATTTTTGGATTTTAGAATACCTATATTTGCATACTGCTACTACTATTAATAATAATGAGATGTCTTAGAGATGGGACCCAAGTCTAAAAACAACATTCATTTATGTTTCATATACACCTTATGCACATAGTCTGAAGGTGATTTTATGCAATATTTTAAATAATTTGTGCATGAAACAAAGTTTGCATACGTTGAACCATCAATAAGCAAACGTGTCACCTTTGAAACCCACCCACGAAAGCCACCCATGAGAAAAGGTTTGGTTTTTGTAGTATTTCTGAATTCGAACGTTATTTTATGTATCAGAAAGTGTGATGAACAATGTTTTAATGCATTCAAATGTTAACAATCCAAAGTTATTAGGCTTCACTATGTTTTACATCTCTCAATAAAGCGCATTTTTTTTCGCTGCTTATTATTCCTATTAAGTCTGAATATATGTATACTACTACTGCTACTACTACTAATAAATTATTATTATTATTATTATTATTATTATTATTATTATTATTATTATTTATAAATGTATAAATAAATAAATAAATAAAATTTATAAATAAATATAACAACAACTACTACTATTATGATGATGATGATGTAAAAAAACAACCAATACATCCAAACAATTACATACATCTTACACACCTATAAACAAAAGTGTAAACTTTTCATATTGGGAAGTACAGTCATTCCTCCACATTTGCAGATTTGACTTTTGTGGATTTGATTATTCACGGATTGTATCAATATGTTCTCTCTAGGAATGCCTAGGTCCTCAAGTACAACTCTATGGTCAACTATAACCAAAAGTCACACTGAAGGACCTAGAGATTCCTAGAGAGAACCCTCCACTAGGCCTTTGTAGCTCCTCCAGCGCAACTCTATGGTTAATGTCTGGCAGATGTTGACCACAGAGTTGCACTGGAGGACCTAGAGATTCCTAGAGAGGTGTTCTTCAGGTAAAAACATAGTGCTTTTGTTATTTGTGGTTTTCCCACTTTCACGGGGGTCCTGTGCCCCTGTGAAAGTATTTAAAGTATTTATATTCCGCATTACTCCCACAATAGGACTCATAACAGCAGCCATACTTTAAAAATTTATATATATATATATATGAATAATCAATTAAAAAAACAACAAACAGAACCGTTTAAA